ATAGAAAAGTTGGCTGTGATGCCATGTGATATTATATCAAGAATTATGACACTGTAGCATGATTGTTTTTGTAACGTAAAAGAAGAGATTAGGAGTGTGTTTGGTAGTGATTTTTAGAGGAAGAATTGATTTTTGAATAGTGATATGATGGGAAATGTGTGGTTGAAAAAGAAGAAAAAAGTATTGATGTAATGGAAAATATTATTTCATTGAAGAATGTGTGGTTGAAAATGAGAATTGANATAGTGATAAGATGAGAAATGTGTGGTTAGAAAAGAAGAAAAAAGTATTGATGTGATGGAAAATATTATTTTATTGAAGAATGTGTGATTGAAAATGAGAATTGATTTACTGTAGAAAATGAGAATCCGTACCAAACAGCCCCTAGGTTTTCAAATTCTCGTTAATTTAAATCAAAAGAAAAACAAAAAATTCACTTGCCTTTTCTTTCGACACAAGAATTTTTATTTATTTATTTTCAGAATTTAGATATGTCCAAGCAGTGTTCATCTTCTCTGGGATTCTACAGTGGCGGAGGTTAAGTTTCTTTAACAATCTTGTTTTCATGGTTGGACAAATTCTTTTTCTTTAAAAAAAAATGCAAGATTGGTCACTACAAGAACGATAATGATAACCACACAGTTAACTACTTGGACTGAAGTTTTTCCACAGCAGATTGCAACTTCTTCAGCAACAATATGTGCTAATCGAGGTCAAACAAGTTAAACTAACTCCCATTATTTACAAATTACTGCATACTCAATGAGCTTCTCGAATTCTACAGTTCACAAACAATGTGTGGTTCACCATAAGCGGATTGTAAAACAGTAGTCAAATTAAAAGTATGTTTGAGAGTAAACGGTTTAAATTATAATTAGATAAAAATATATAGTGGGTAAATGTATAGTACTCGAAGATCCTATAAAATGTGTGTATAAGAGTGTCTTGACTGTTTATAAACAATTTATAAACATGAGCCAAACATAGGCTAGTACAACAATAATAAAGCATAAAAGAGTAAATATTTTGAATGGTGCGGATGAAATTGAAAGACCGAAAAAATCAAATTAAGTGAAGGCTACAAGTGTTTTCATACGTGAATATAGTGATTGTGAGGTAAGAATCAAGGAATACCCATCTTTCTACTAAACAAGATGTATTGAACTC